TGGATCGGTACCGATCGTACCGGGAAGGAGACCTTCGGGAGGTGGAACGGTGATGCGAGTACGACCGGCGCCGAGATGGAGATCGGTGCCGGGACTGCGAGCAGCGCCTCGACCGGGACCATCTGCGGGACCGAGACCGGGACTGAGAGCGGTGCCGAGTTGTTTCACCCTGCGATGGAGGTCGCATGAAGGCGGGCTTCCCTATGGATGGGACAGTCCGCACCGGCGGTGCCGGTGGGTGAGACGGTCCAGGCTCAGTCAGAGCTATCAGGTCACGAGCAGTGGAGAAGGTCTCTGGAGTGGACAGTAGGCCCAGCTCAACCACGGTGTGCACCGGGGAGCTTATCTGCACCGGATTCAACGGCACTTGGGGCGCTGGAATCGACGGTGCTGGAGTTGGCGCTTTCATATGGTCTGGCACGGGGCGCTGCTCCACTGAGGCCGCAGGCGGTGCTTGCAACTGCGAAGGAGCAGCAGGTGGTTTGTGCTGCTTCTTGGGCCGTGGGGACAGCGAGCAGTGCCGCATCTGTACCGATGCCAGAGACGTCCGGTGCCGAGGGACCTTGCTGGTGCTGGGTCGCTCCGGTGCCGGAGGCGCGCTGCAGACCGATGGTTCCTGGTCTGTGCGCGGTGCCGAGGGCATTGGACTAAGTGCCGCCTCCATCAGGAGCTGTTTTAGATGGAAGTCCAGCTCCTTTTTTGTCCGAGGCTTGAAAGCCTTGCAAATGCGACTCTTTATCAGGCTGATGAGATTCCCCCAGGCACTTCAAACAGGAGTCGTGGGGATCTCCAATAGGCATCGGCTTGAGACAGGCTGAGCAAGGTTTGAAACCCGGAGACTTGGGCATGAGCCCTGGTACCGGGCGGAGGAATGGGGATAAACCCCGTTTCCTCAACTTATATACACTATATCTATAAAACACAATAAGAACTACTCTAAACTTACTAAACTGGTAAACTACACTAAAGAACTATCTATAATACAACTAGTAAGCTAGGGATGTGGAGGTCACGGCCGGTAAGAAGGAACTGAGGGGGCGCTGGGTCGGCAGGGGCATATATCCGGCGCCATAAGGGCGCCGCTCCAGGGGGCGCCTCAGCCGACCCACCGAGAGTTGCTAAGGTAAAAATCTTCCGACGATCGTGCACGCAGCGCGCGCATACCTAATTGGAATTGATATGAGCAAGCACTCGAAGAAGAACTATTGGATTCCCTAGCTTCCCCCACTGCACTACAAGGGAATGACTGTCATTAGGTAACTCTGATAGGGTATGTCCTGCTGTGCTCACTGGTCTTGTGACTTCTCCGTATCAGGGACCAGCTCATTTTGTTAATAATTCACATTGGACTAGAGCTGGGTGAAGGCTGGAGGGTCAGTTCACTGTGCGGCTCACCAGTTGAATTCCACAGTTTAGAGAATCATAGAAATGTAGGGCTGGAAGGGACCTAGAAAGATCATCTAGTCCAGCACTATACCTAGACTGTCCCTGACAGCTGTTTGTCTAATGGGTTCTTAAAAACCTCCAGTGATAGGGATTCCACAACCTCCCTTTGAAGCCTATTCCAGAGCTTAACTATCTTTATAGTTAGTTAGAAAGTTTTTCCTAATATCTAACCTAAATCTCCATTGCTGCAGATCAAGCTGATTCCTACTTCAACTTTTAATGCACTTGGAGAACAGTTGATCAGGGTCCTCTTTATAACAGTTCTTATCATATTTGAACATGGTCTGAACATATTTGAGTGTTTGGCTAAGATTAAGAGGCACCTGGAGGAGTGAAAGTAGGTTACAGGGGTATGTGTAGCTTTCTTGGGGTGCCCAGGGCTCTTGTTACCCATCCAGTGAGAGGAAGATTTTCTCATGCTTTCTCTCTCTAACACCACCAGTCTGTTAGCCCTGAGGAGATTGGTAGGATGGCTCTGCCAGCCTTTATTTTGCCTCGCACAGTAACAATAGGTGCACCACAGCCCCCAAGTCCCTCTGAAAGTGTTCCCCTGTAGCATCAGGTTCCTGTCACAGGACACTCACAGAAATTACCAGGTTAGCTGTCCCCAAGGGAACAGAATACAAACAGCTTGATTGGTACAACTCAGGATCAGATCTTTTATAACATCACAGCACTGAGATATATGTATAGTGGAATAATCCTATATTTATTATCAAAGATTTAAGAGATACTGAGTCAGAATAATGGAAACAGAACGGGTTACATATAAAATGAAAATCATAACATGCTTCTTAGAGTCTAAATGTAACATTAACAGGTTAAAATCAATGATTACAGCAGTTTCTCACCTAAAGCAATCTCCCAGCATCATTAACCAACATGCCTGGGATCCAACTTTCATGAGGAAGGAAAAAGGCTTTTTGCATCATGCAGGGGAGGATAAACAAGGTGATTTTTGCCTCCATTGATTTTGTCCTCAGAGTCAGGATGACCCCCGTGGATCCTTTCCTCAGACAGAGACCAACACCTACAAGATCTTCACCAAGCATTCTCAAAACTACG